GAGAGAGAGAGAGAGAGAGAGAGAGAGAGAGAGAGAGAGAGAGAGAGAGAGAGAGAGACGCCAGTAGGTAGGTGATTGTATATGAAGAGGGGGCAACGCCTAGGGGAGCCGCCCCTCTTGTCTCAGCTGATCGGAAGGTTGGTGGTGGAGCCGCAAGGCGTAGGCTGTGGGGGGGAGACACAGAGAAGCCGACATGGCCTTGAGGGAGTGCTAGGAGCGCAGCAGCATGCTGGCCGAAAGGCCTCGGGGAAAGTGCGATGAAGTTTCAAACTGAGAACAGTACATGCGGAGAAGTGATGGTGAAGGCAGGGGGAAGTAGCAAAAGAGAATGGACTGTAATAGTTTTCCCACTACTTCACCACCATGAATTTGGCAGCGTTCTATCGATGCTTGTACGAGAAGCAGTCTATGGCCAATGTTTTTGTTTTTTTTTTCACTATTTCACTAATATTCAGCATCTAATAGAAGGAGGAATTTAGCAATTACAGGCTTTTTTTTTTTTCCCGTAAGGAATTTATTTGTGAATGAATATTTAGCTTCTAGTCTTTTCATAATTTCTTTTTTTTGAAAGGGGGGGGGGGGGGGGGGGTTGTAAATGATAATCAATTAAGAAAACACACACATACATTAGAGATTAAAAAAAATAAAAAAAATAAAAATCATGTCTCTCTTGCACATCTTTGAGTTATTTGACACTCTTTTTTTTTCGTATGCCTTTTCTTTTCCTTTTGTTCGTAATTTCATTTATTGAATTTAATAAGAAAAAGGAATCGCTCCCTATGTTTGGTGATGCAATGACCCAATGGCCATGTCGTCGACAAATGTCGAGCGATTCCATTTTCTAATTAAATTAGATTAAATTAAATTATGAATTCAATAAAAAAATGAAGTAAATTAAACTAAGGTATATTATTATTATTATAATATCAATTGCCGAGATTCGACTATCGTCTTCCCCCTAATAGAACGCACGGTCATTATATCTGTATTTTGGGGCCATTTTCAGTCTAGGTACAGAGTGACAATGACCGTCTGCGTTCTATGCGGGTGAAGACGATCCCGGACAGCACGGACTGCTTTTTTTTTTTCCTCTTTTCTTTCCTTTTTTTTTTCCTTTGTTTTTTCTTTTCCTTCGGGCATCACCGACTAGGAAATATAATAATAAAATATTATTAATATTCGGTTTTCTTCTTCAGTCAAGTGCGTTCTCACCCGGTCTGTCTGTCTGTCTTTTGGATCCGTGCTCTGCGGCACTGGGATCCCGGTTGTTGTCATCGGCAGTCGGGGTCGCGGCTGTGTAAGTGCGTTGCCATGTGGACAATTGTCTTACAGATAGGCTTTGACACGTGGCGTGATGACATCGATGACATGTGGGCAAGAGTCTTACAGATAGGCTTTGACACGTGGCGTGATGACATCGATGACATCATCATGATTATCAACGTCGCGATACGAGGGAGGTAGATTGACAAGTGGCATTCATCGACGTTTTCAAGGTCAGGTTATGTTGAAGATCATGACGTTGTATCATTATCATTCACGCATCTTGCTTCTAACGATCCGTCCTCCTCCTCCTCCTCCTCCTCCTCCTCCACATCGTCATCATCATTGTTGATATCCTCATCGTCATCAACATTAGCACCTCATCATTCTGATCATTCTGATCATCATCGTCAGCACCACCATCATTGTCATCCTCCTCTTCCTCCTCCTCCTCCTCCTTCTCCTCCTCCTCATCATCAGCACCGCGATCATTGTTAATATCATCATCATCATCATCATCATCATCATCCTCATCCTCATCATCATCATCTGCACTATCATCATCATCATCAGCATCATCGTCATCAACATTAGCACCTCATCATTCTGATCATTCTGGTCATCATCGTCAGCACCACCATCATTGTCATCCTCCTCCTCCTCCTCCTCCTCCTCCTTCTCCTCCTCCTCCTCCTCATCAGCACCGCGATCATTGTTAATATCATCGTCATGATGATGATGATGATGATGATGATCATCATCAGCAGCAGCAGCAGCACCATCATCAGCATCACGATCATAGTCAGCACCACCACCATTCTTGATATCATCAATAACCTCCTCATCTTCATCGCATCAGCATCAATCAGCATCAATCAGCATCAATCAGAATCAGCATCCATCAGCATGAGCATCAGCATGATAAAAGGGCCTTTACCCGATATAGGCCTCAGGCCTTGTAAAAATAGAGCAGCACGGGCCTTGTAAAAGTAAAGCATTGTGAAAAGGTATCTTGCCAGGGCTCAGAAACGTGAAAACAGGTCAAAAGTCAAGTTCTCGATCAACAGGCACATCTAAATCTAAGGCAAAGGGCATTGTCAGAAAACTTACCTGTTCACCAGGAGACGTGTATGTCATGACTGTTCGAGTAAGGGTGTGTCTGTACGTGTAGGCAGTGTACCTGTTCGTGCAATGGAAAGTGCCTGTTCAAGTAGTAAATGTRTCTGTTCGTTTAGAGTTGTGCCTGTCCRAAAGTGAAGTCAGTAGGCACAGTCCCAGTTCTGGTCTAAGTCAAGGGGTCAGTCCAGATCCAGACTTTCAAGTCCAAATCCAGGCCGTAGTGCCTCAGCAGCAGTTGAATCTCATTGGGACTGTACTGGGACACATGCAATGCAGGGTCTGGGACAAAGGGAGAGGCTGAATTGAGCCAATGCAGACCCAGCGAGGAGTGGCCAGCACTATAAAAAGAGCTGCCTGCCTCATTCCTCGCCAGATCTCAACTAGCTGCAATGCGTGGAAGTGCTGGTGCACTTGTGCGCTGAGTCAGGAGGAGCAGCGCTGGAGGAGAAGACACGCTGGAGGGAGGAAGATGCCTGTACGCTGGAAGTGATGCAGCCATAGCTGCCCAGCGAGTTAGCATTAGTAGTAGAGGGTTAGTATGTAGCTATGAGTAGTATC